AGAGCAACATTTGAGAAATCGTATCGTAGCTGCAGCGAACAGAATATCGCAAGAACAGTGCCTGGCTGCTACAAGAGCCGTGTTTGACAGATGCAATGCTTGTATTGCTGCAAGAGGTGCACATTTCGAACAAAATCTTCATTAAAAAGTTTATAAATAAAATAATTAAAATAATAAATTAAATATATTTTTTTCTTTTTTCGTGATTTCCTGCGAAACAAAGCAAAAAGGAGCATATGTCTATAGGACTTTTTTTCTTAGTTTTTTACTCCTCTACACGCTCCCGAAGTTTTGCCATTTAATTTGGAAACACCCTGTATATACATGTAACATCTTGCCAATTAACATGCAAATTGTCACGACTAAGAAAAAATATATTATAACAATTTTTCTTAATGATATATATCTACTTCTTTACATTATAAATTAGATACATAGTTAGTTTTATATTTATAAGTAGTTTGCGCATGATATGTAATAGAATTCAAAATATGAATTGTTTTATTGTCTAGGTAGAAGCTATTTTTTTTAGCACAAGTTTACTGAGTCGGTTCCTCAAAGCGAGTTGTATAAAGAAATATCCTTTATTGTCTTTGAAAGTTATACTCTACGGTGGTGCAATTATGAATGAAAAAATGCAGGAAAAACTGAAATATACTTTACCGCACGTTCAAATGTTGCAAGGTTACGGTAAATATAAAAAGAGCAATAAAACATTAACATATATTATGTGGATGATATAATTTTAATTACATTTTTTATGTTTCTAGGAATGACAGAAGCCGGTGGTTCTATAACGTTGCCACAATCACATCATAAAAATGGATCTAACGGAGTCGTAACCAAGAATGTGCAAATGAAAATCGTGGACCCTGAAAGCGGGAAAGTACTTGAACCAAATCAACCGGGAGAAATATGGATAAAATCTGCAACTATGATGAATGGTTATTATAAAAATCCTGAAGCAACAAAAAGTACGATTGATGAGGAAGGTAAAGAGAAATTTTATTTGTCGTAATAACAAGTAATAATATACAATAATTATATTTAAAAAAATTAATTACAATTTAACACATGCAAAAACTAAACCAATATTCCATCAGATCCTAAAAATATATATAATAATGTTATAAAAATATAGTGGCATAAAAGTAAATTTAAAAAATAGGATGGTTGCACTCGGGTGATATCGGTTATGTAGACGAAGATGGAGAGTTGTTCATTATTGACAGAATAAAAGAACTCATGAAGTACAGAGGTCAGCAAGTCTCTCCTGGAGAAATCGAGAATATCTTAACGTCACATCCAGCAGTGCTAGAAGCTGTAATAATAGGGGTGCCCCATGCATTAGACAATGAACATCCTCTTGCTTATGTTACCAAGAGGCCTGGCATCGAGGTACAATCATTTGTTACAAATATATAATAAAGATATAAAATGAAGATTTACAAAATAAAATCAGAATATTTCTAACAGCGAGCCAATTTTGAGCATTCTGTTGAGATATTTTCTTAAAATATTTAATAAATGTCTATTAGAAAGAGAATCATACTTATAGAAATAAGGATGTTGATTAAAGCAATTAAAAAATAAATTAAAAAATTTATTAACTCGGTAAAATTAGAGTACGATGAACAAATCAATTTAAATTTAAAGAAATAAAGATTTGATAAGAACAAACAAATCGCGAAGAAAGAAATTAATAGCTTCAAGATTATTGTTACATTTATATATTAGGTTTTAATACAAAAATAGGAAATATTTTTTGTGTATTGGATTGATCTTTTTCATTTATTTAATTTTCTTTGTACAGGTGACAGAACAGGAATTGATAGACTTTGTGGCGAAGAACATGGAAGATCGATGCAAACTACGTGCAGGAATTATATTTCTGGATAGTTTTCCATATACTGGTTCAGGGAAAATTTCAAGAAAAGATTTGAAAGAAATGACTAAGAAACTAGTAATCTACGACGATTAATTACATAATTATATTCTTTTATAATAACTTTAATTTATAAATGTGTATAATCTCGTATTATTTCAGAATACAAAATTTAAAGGTAGATTATTGTTTTATATCAAATAAAAAATTGTTTTATTGTAATTGATAGAAATATGTAATTTTAGATTTTAATAATTTCTGAAAAATGTGTTTCTGCTATGACAGCAAAATTACTTTTTTTAAATACTTGTATGTTTTGTTTAATATTAAAAATATAAAGAGACGGTAGGAAAAAAAGGTAATTAAAATAGATTATATGTAGAAAATATACGTTAAATAATATAATATTAAAAGTTATATTGTTGTAGTCTGGTAGTTATAATCATTTAAAGGCATTCGAGGTTACATAACAACTAATAAAAAATGACTTAACGAATTAATGGCAAGTTGACATCGATATAATGATTTCGATGTCGATTCGATATCTAATTGATAGTCATTTCTCGCTGAAAATCGCATCAAGCATTTTCGAAATTATAAAAAAGGAAGAATTTGTCCTCACAATTGGTCTTGGTCGTGCACATTTCAATCAGCTGAGATCATATATGGACTGATTGATGGTTTAGAGCCTTATCGAATCTTGCAGTAAAGACGACTACGTATACTTATTTAATTGCCTAATCGCCCCAAAGTCAATAAAAATTAGTAAACATAGTCAGGAAATAATAGCATCGTAAAAATCAGTGAACGAAGTCAGAAATAATAATAAAGTTGTTAAGAACTAGTAGAAAATAATTGAGAGAGAGATAATGGGTGCATTCAGAAGCGACGACCGTTCACTGAGCGCTCAGTGAGCTCTTGTATCTGATTGGCGTATTCCGTTAGAACTGAATGCACCCATTGAGTCATGGTACTGCTAAATAAATTTATTCCATCCGCTCTGGTGCAAATCGTTTTAGTTAAAGGGTAAAATTGTTTGTAATTTACGTTTGAATGAATGAGTTTGTCAGATAAGAATAACTTATCGTTTATAACTTCTAATGAGCGCTCCCACACCGAGTTCTAACTCCCAAGATGAAACAGTTTCATAATATTTCATTTGTTACACCGAAAGATTAAAGTATGAGATTACAACGTAATTGACGTTCATCCAATCACCTATGTTAAGAATTTTTGTCTTCAGATAAACATCATAAAACATGAAAAAGACATTGAATAATATAATAATAATAATGATATAAATGTTTATGATTTGTGCGATTATGGAAACTGAATGTGATTTATGAGAGGGGGAGAGAGAGAGCAGAGATGGAGGGGGGAGGAGGGAGGAGAGGGAGTGAGAGAGATATAATAAATATATCAAAAGAGAGGGATGTATTATAAATAATCTACATGTGCGATGAATAGTCAGTAAATGCTTATATATATATATAGTCTATTATTTTTAACAACGTTCATAATCGCTTCGTTGTTCACTTGTCTGCTGACTGTTCATCGCGTAGGACTCTTCCGTCCATCAGACACGGAATCTTCTTCATTGTAATCGACGCTATCAATTTTTCTTCAAATTTCAACATTGTTTCTCTACATCCGATATTTTAACAATCTATATAATTGAAGGTATTGTTTATATATAAGTTTATATCTTTTTTGTATATAAACATGGATTCTATCGTGTCTCTATTTTATTATTAAATATAATTGTTTACAATAATTTATCAAATTTGACAACTGTAAGTAGTGATAGCTTTTTAGTAGTTATTTTCCAGTGTTTATTTTTGTTGACGACTATTTTCTGAGTGTTTTAGTACTCCTTTTCTTATATAATTAGATACATTATGCATGACTATCAGATAAAAAAATAAATGAAGATATTAAAACATTTCCTTTCTTATTATTTTTAAGGGAGAATTTTTAAAATTGTAGTTTTATTACAGTTCTTGAATTTAAGCAATTTGCGACCGCTCGCAAGGTCAACTGCTAATATTATAAATGTTCTGTTATATGTATCTATCTATTCTGTGCTTTACTATAAGTACGTATTATGTGATAAATTCTTACAATAAAATTAGTATTTATACGATTCAATGAAAATAAAAGATTATGCCAAAACCGTCATAGTTTTAATGACATGATAAAATCAATAAATACACAATAAATATATACACACATATATTTCACACATTTTGATAGTCAATTTTAGTTCGCTTATTTAGAATAATTAAATGCTCTATTTACGACACATTACTGTAGAGTAACATTGTTGGAACGTATTCAAAATCTCATATTTACGATGGAAGATCCAAATATTTCTTACGAAACCGTTGAACATGATCCAAAGGTAAGTGTAAAATCACATAGTGATCTATTGATGTATCTAACTTTATGTTATACATTTTAATGAAAAAAGTTATAAATGTACAATGTTTCACGTGTATGTGTGTGTGTTCGTGATTTTTTAAATTAAAGGCACATAGTGCAAAGTCACTGTAATAAACAATTAAAACAATCTGATTTATATGTTACATACAGAATTTTACTGTAGAAAATGGCATTTACAAGGGATCGGTAAAGCATAACTTGAATAAATACAAGAGTCTCGGAGAAATGTTATGGATCAAAATTAAAAGTCATGGAGACAAAATTGCATATGTAAGTCATGTTTACTTGGATATAACATTAATTTAATACATAGAATTTACCAGAAAAATAGGTGTAAACTTTTAAAATTTATGTCTATCTAAATAAGAAAGAAGATTTATTAAAAATATACTCTAGAATTAAAAAGATTTATATTAATAATAATGAATATAGATTGCCATTGTCCTATTGCTTCTACCAATCTGTTTATACGATATAATGTTAAACTAAAATTTGTTTTACCAAACAATTGTATATGGGAATAAGTTTCCGTCCTTTTTTAATGAAAAACATCTATTTATTTAAACAAAACAATACAAAGTGAGTTTATTCAAAGTATGTTCCATCGGAAGCGACAACTTTCTTCCACCTTTCCGGTAATAAACGAATTCCTCGAAGGAAAAAATCTGGTTCTCTTTTAAAGCGATCTCATCAAGCCATTTTTTGATACCTTCATAAGAATTGAATCGTTATCCAGAAAGAGTCGGCTGCATGGATCGGAACAAATGGAAATCTGAAGGAGCAATGTCGTAAATACGGCGGGTGGGGCAGAATTTCCCACTTCACTCCTTCCAAGTATTTCTTAACCGGTTTTGTAACGTGTGGCTTAGCGTTGTCATATGTAGCAGAATCAGCTTGTTGTGCCTATTATTCCATTCCAGTCATTTTTCTTTCAAAGCTTGGTTCAAACGTATCACTTGTACTCGATAACGATCGCTAGTGAATGCACCTTCGCGTTCTTTGTTACGCACGTCGAAATCACCATTATTGAATCACCGAAATCATTTTTTACAAGTAGTATTCGATGGAGCATGCTCACCATAAATATCTACGAGCAAACGATGCGTTTCCGCAGCACTTTTCTTTAAAATGAAATAATGGAGTAAAACTTCTCGCAAATGTTGCTTTTTTGGAATAAATTCCGACACTTTCAACGCAAAAAAAGTTACTCTTGTTTATGCTTCGAACGAATGCCAATTACTGGGCTCAAAAGCTTGAACACTCACCTTTCAAATACATGTATTGCCATTTTATCAAACACCCAAGCAGTGCTACTAACGACGTCTCTCTACAATGAGCGGAAACTTATTCCCGTACCCAATATAAGATTAACAAGTATAGGAGAGAATTCATATATAATATACATATATATAGAAGACTGTACTAATATTTCGATAATAAAACTTCGACGACCGAGTGATTCATGCGGATTTTTAATTGACTCAGTACTGCTTGCCTCTAACATTTTTTACAAGGCTGTTTATAACATAATTATAGAAGCAAATGTATATATAAAAAGAAACATTGAAACTACCATTATTTTAACATTATAAAATATAATTTTTATTTTTTATTAATATAAAATATGTTTTGTTAAGTAAAAATTTATTTAATAATTTATTAATTTTGTAAATTAATATTTTACTTTTATGTATGATAATTTTAAAACATCTAAAAATATTTTACATATATAAATTGTTACAAGTTAAACTAGTTGATTTAAAAAAATATTATTTTAGATTGATTAAAATAAGTCATGTAATGTCATAAAAAATTTATCTAAAATAATTTAATTGTAAAAGTGCTAAGACAATATATGAAAGAAATCACAAAACAACTAAAATGTGGATATAACTGACAGCCATTAATAACCGTGCAAGCGTGATGAAATCACGTTTATATTACACCAGACGATAATTTCTAGCTAGCAAAGTCACGTACACGTGATAGAAGTCAAAGTGCAAAATAAAATAATAAAAAATATTATCGAGGAAATCATTAAAATTTAACATTGACATCATTTAACGAGATACTAATGTGCGTTCTTTTATCACATGTGTTTCATATAATACGATATTATATAATAAATTCAATGTCAAAACAATTTCTTATATAATGTTATGTAACACATATACGTATATTAGCGAATATTTACAAAAAAAATTTAGAAGCAAATATGTAAAAAATTTAAACTATAATTTTTAAATAATTGCGGAATTAATTATAACACTAATAACAACATTGTTATAAATAAAACTTATAATTTAATATTATCAAAGATTCTTTTGTTTTAAACCTAATCATGGATGGTAATTATTAATAATAAATGCCTTAAGAGAGAGACTATTATAGTATTTTGGCAAATTTTCCGTACGTGATACAATTTAGGCATTTGTAAAAAAAGAAGAAATCCAAAAAAGAATTAAAAGCGAATCAAAATAAAATTCTTTAATAATTGATTGAAAGTCTTTACGATTGTACATAGTTTTTGTAAACTTTAATTTTGATTATTAATTAGTAAAAGATATATATTTTAGAGTTGTGGAGTTCTTTTAATCACGAATTAATGATTCTAACATAATTAATTTTGTGGTGTTTTGGAACATCTTTTGTAATAATATACAGTTGGACGTATGCACCGAAGAAACAATCACGTACGCGGAACTGCAAGATAAAGTTGTGAGATGCGCCTTGTGGTTGCAAAAACAAGGAATTCAATCAGATGACGTTATTAGTATATGCACAGGCAATCATCTCAACTCCATCGTGCCTTGCCTTTCGGCAGCTTATATCAATGCAATCTTCAATCCGTGGAATGAGAACATGGATCTGAGTAAGTTCTTCCTGAATTATCAAATATTCCATATTGTGTTCGATTGAATTAATGAATTCGAAATAATGTATTTCCAATACTGCGAATGAGACAGCGAGTCCAATTTTATCTTCTATCTTAATATACCTTAATACTTAGCGCGCAATATTTATTATTTTATTATTTATGAGTTATTTGTTATCAGAAACTTCGCTGCACGTTTTACGATTGACCACGCCAAAAGTGATCTTCTGCAGTGAGAAATCCGTGGATGTTGTCTTGAGCGCGATAAAGGAGCAGAAGTGCAATCCTACGATAGTAATTTTTGGCAAGCATGTCGATGCGATTTCGTTCTTCGATATTTTGAAAAATTGCAATGATGTGGAAGTAGTAAATTTCCGTTACGTTGAGCTCGACAATATATCGGTTACTACGGTAATGCCGAAAGGCGTCGAACTGTCCAATTATGGACTATTAGTCGCCATCCAGGAAAGTGTTTTGGATGTGGCTAACGCGCCATCACTTTGGTTTTCTTCTCTTTATTGGCTGAGTGGGACAGCGATGAACTTGAATGTGATCGCGCAAGGCGGCTTAGCGATTCTCTATCCAGAATTTAACGAGGAGATGACTTGTCAATTAATTGAAAAATACAAAGTAATATTATATTATATGTAAAAGCTTTTATCCTTCTTTCATTTATTAAAGAATTAAAATGGAATAATTTTAATTTTTTAAATGTTCTTTTCTAAAAATAATAAAATATTCTAATAAAATATAATGTTTTACGCTAATATAAATAAGTAAAAGTAAATAGCTTTCTACTATAAATAAGTTATCGCAATGTTTAGTTTTCTTTCTTTTGCAAAATCTATAATAAAGTTAAAGTGAATTGGTTTTCTTCAAGCATACTTTAATATTTTTAAATTAAGCAAACAATTGACACGATAACTTATTATTGTTAGAATATTACTATTAATTTTTGTATTAAAACTTCTCGTTTAATGTAGAATGAATTGCATTTTCATAATTGATAATGAATTAAATATGATAACATCTTGCAGTGCAAGATGTTATCATTGAGATAAGTGCTTAAGATAAGTAAATTATAATTATGCAATTGTAAGAAAGAATATATTAATGATATTTACTTGTATGAATTAGCGTTAGAAGTAGTTTCCGCACGATATAATATATGATTCAGAAGTATAAATTATTTTTTTGTCTAGGTAGCAGTTATTTTTCTTAGCACAAGCATGATCAATCGATTTCTCAAAGCGGGTTACGTAAAGAAATATTCTTTATCATTTTTAAAAATTATAATAAGCAGTGGTGCAATAATTAAGCCGAAAGTGCAGGAAGAACTGAGATGTGTTTTACCACATGTCGACATATTGCAAGGTTATGGTAAATATCGTTATAATGCAATATATTACTATGTTAGTATGTATTAATGTGTGTTATAAAATTTTAATTATTTCTTTTGTTTTAAGGAATGACGGAAACCTGTAATTTTACAACATATCAACTACCAAATCATAAGAACGGATCTTGTGGTGTGATAGCTAAGAATATGCAAATGAAGATCGTAGATCCTGAAAACGGAAAAGTTCTTGGTCCAAATCAATCGGGAGAAATATGGGTAAAATCTGTAACCATGATGAATGGTTATTATAAAAATCCTGAGGCAACAAAAAGTACGATTGATGAGGAAGGTAAAGAAATTCTGTCATAACAATAATAATAAACATAATTACATTTAAAAAAATTAATTACAATTAACGTATTCAAAAACTAAATAAATTATATTCCATTAGATTAAAAAAATATATAATATAATAATGTTAAAATCTAATGTACAAATAACAGTAAATTTAAAAAATAGGATGGTTGCACACGGGTGATATCGGTTATCTAGACGAAGATGGAGAGTTGTTCATTATCGATAGAATAAAAGAACTTATGAAGTATAGAGGATATCAGATCTCTCCTGCAGAGATTGAAAATATGTTAATATCACATCCAGCAGTGCTAGAAGCTGCAGTCATAGGAGTGCCTCATGCATTAGATGATGAACATCCTCTTGCTTATGTTACCAAGAGATCTGGTGCCGAGGTGCAATCTTTTATTATAAATATGATAAAATCATAGATTAAAGATTTACAAAAGAAAATTAGAATATTACTAATAGTAAACCGATTTTGAACATTTCGCTAGAAACATTTTCTTAAAATATTTAATAGATAGAGAGAACCACACTTATATTATATTATAAAAACAAAGACGTTGATGTGTTAAAAAAAATGAGAAAAACGAATTAAACACTTGTATATACACTAATTCGGTCAAAATTTAATAAATAAGACATTTTAAGCAAGTAAAATTTGAAACTTTATATAGAACTACCGTGTAAATATTTTTTATTTTTTAATAAATTGAATTAAACATTATTTCATTATTAGATTAAAAGAGTATATCATTAAATTTATGTCTATCATTTTTTAATAGAAAATAGGAAATATTTTTATGTATTAGAATAATCTTTCGTCACACTGATTTAATTCTTTTGTATAGGTGACAGAACAGGAATTGATAGATTTTGTGGCGAAGAACATGATGGATCACTACAAACTACGTGCAGGAGTCATATTTCTGGATAGTTTTCCATATACGGGTTCAGGGAAAATTTCAAGAAAAGATTTGAAAGAAATGACTAAAGAATTGGTAAAGTGATTTATTAATTATGTAATTATCTTTTTTCTACAATAATGTTAATTTATAAATATACATAATATATACTTATAAATATATATGTACATTTATAAATATACTGTGACGTTGCAGTTTCGCTGCAGCCTCGCAGCGACCCTTCGCCGTCACAAAGCGCGGATTCGTGCCTGACTCGAGTCGGGACACGCGAGCGAGCGAAATCTCCAGGGGGCCGTGTATTAACGTTAGATTATTTTTCTAATCTCCAGCGATTTTCTTTTATGTAAAAATTACGGGAGCCTCGCTGAGCGAAGAAACAGCGGGAGAGAAAACAACCACGGAGGAATTCCGGGAGCTACCGCGGGCCGGAGACGGATGGAGCGGAGCCGGCGAGTGCCAAAGAATTTAGCGACGCCCGAGCCCCCCCCCCCAGGATGGGGCGAGGGACGCATGACGAGCAAGAGAGGATCTCGAACACCACAGCAAGCCACCTAATGGCAAGCGGGCGACAAGAGTTGACGTGAGGGCGATGCACCCGGCCACGACATCGGCACGGACGACCGGGAACAGCCAGCAAGGAAGCGAGGGGGTAACCACTAGCTAAAATATTGTCCCACAGATTACATGATTACATATGATTTTACCAGATAAATAATTTTTTTCGTTACATATGAAGTAATTTGGTAAAATATACGATTTTATTTAATACTATACAATGATTTCTCTCAGTAGTAGTTGCATATGTAATTATCGGATTATATATAGAGATTTCATATGAATTTTATAATGATTTCGAGGACTCTGTCCCACGATTACATTAAGTGGTTACCCCCTCGCAAGGAAGGCCCGCCTGGAAAATCCTCGAGGTCGCAAGACGCCCCGTAGCATCTCGCCACACACGTCTTTGCGTGCGAAGGGCCGCTAACTCGCTAATTGGTCACGGCAACACGCGACGCAGCTGTACACCTCCGTAGGGGGAGAGCTCGCGAATTGATCACGCATCGATCACGATCCTGTTCGTTCTTTTCCGTTTCGAGCCGCTTTGCGGAGCAGACGTCTCGGTCCAGTGAACTTCCTGTTTAAACGAGCGAGAGGCCCCGAGCTTGAGGACGGTTCGAAGGCTAGATCGGTGAGGTTGTCCTTTCGGTTCGTACAGTGTGAAGTGCAACGTGACAGAGGGTCGCTCTCGCGTTCTGTATTCGGCACGCAAATTTAGTGTTGGTGCGGCGTTCGCCATAAGCGGCGCCTTCTTAGGCTGCGTTCCACTTAATGCTCGCAACGCTCGCGAACATCGTTTGTCCTTGTTTAACATTTGATAAACTACAAAGATGAAATGATTCCACGTTGTGAGCGTTAAATGGAACACGCCCTTAGTGTAACGAGTAAGGCGTGGCCGGCGCC